GCATCCGGCACGGCGGCCCCGCGCGGCCGCGGCGAGTGTGCCTGCACCAGCCACCTCAAGTCGCCCTCGCGCGCCGGGTCCACGCGGAGGTACTGGGCCCACTCCTCGAACTCGGGCGCGACGCCTCCGCGGCCGGCAGGAGGAGGAGGGGGAGGAGGAGGAGGAGGAGGAGGAGGAGGAGGAGGAGGAGGAGGAGGAGGAGGAGGAGGAGGAGGAGGAGGGGGGGAGCAGGAGGAGGAGGAGGACGACCACGACGACGACGACGAGGACGACGACGACGACGAGAATGACCCGTCCGCTCGCCCGTCCGTTCGTCCACCTCTTACCAGCCTCGAACTGATCCCTATCCCTAAGATTGACATGCCAAAAGGCGATGACAATCTCAGGGATGCGCCCTCAAACAATGAGGGACTCCCTACGATTGGCGTCGTGATGAGGAGATGCCCAGCATAGGGATAGGGATATGTGTCAGGCTGGTAAGAGGAGGAGGAGGAGGATGAGGAGGAGGACGACGACCACGAGGACGACGACGACGACAACGACGACGAGAATGACCCGTCCGCTCGCCCGTCCGTTCGTCCACCTCTGCTCCGCGGACCAGAGGTGGACGAACGGACGGGCGGACGGCGGGGCGCCCGAAGACGTCTCGCAGGGCGGCCCTCGAGGGGCTCGGCGGAGGCGCGCCGGAGCGCCGAGCACTCGGTAGTAATTGCTCGCGCGGCAGCACATGACTTCCCAGGGAGTCACCGCCGCACGAGGTAGTGCGTAAACCGTGGGTGTGTGGTGAGATGTTTTACCAGCCTCGAACGTATCCCTATCCCTGAGATTGACACGCCAAGAGGCGATGACAATCTTAGGGATGCGTCCTCACAAAATAAGGGAATCCCTAAGATTGGCATCGTGATGAGGAGGTGCCAAGCATAGGGATAGGGCAGGCTGGTAGATGTTGGATTCACTCAGCACCTGTCTGATCTGAAGCATGCTCCAATAGGTGTATGATATTTGCTGGAAGGGTCGCCTGCTTCCTCACGGAATACAGGGCACGACGCTCTTTTCAACCTGTGTGTGCGATGCACGTTGCCACAACGTTTACGGAAGTGGGGTGGAGGCCGGGGAAGGCTGAGGGGGGCCACGGAAAGGGAAAGGGGGAGGCGGAGGTGGAGGGGGGCGAGGGGCAGCAGGGTGACTGGTCGCTGCTTAGTACCGGGGGCGCGGCGATGCCTGGTGAGGGCACGAAGGAACGTGCACCGTTCGTGCCCCTTTCGGGCACCAGAGGCTCCTACTCGGGGCCCCATAGGTGCACGAAAGGTGCAACTCTCTTGACCCCCCCCCTTCCTCGCCCACCCACATGACGCAACGCCCGAGGTGAGGGAAAGGGAGGGCCAGGAGAAAAGAGAGAACGAGAAGGAGAACGACGGGTAGAACGAAGAGGAGCAGCTTCTCTTTGTTCTACCCTTCGTTCTACCCTTCGTTCTCCTCTTCGTTCCAAGCCCATCAGCCAGCCCGACCGAGTCAGCGAAACTCGCGCGCTCCCACCAAATGAGCGAACAGGAGACGCTCGCGCGCGCGCGTCCCCGCTTCTGACGACATGGGAAAGCAAGACAACGGGCCGCGCACAGGCCGGAGCAGAACTCCCCGAAACTCATTGCGTGGCATTGGGGCAACAGCACCACGAGGTCCCTTTTGCGCGGAGACCAGATTCCGACAGGACTGGCGAGGGCAAAACATGGGCCGCGCCCGAGCGGAGGCGATACTTCCAGGCGAAATCTGCGCAAGCGACGACGACTTTCTCCTCACTCTCCGGGGTGGCCCCGCTTGCGACGACTGGGCGAGCGAAACAGATGCGCCACCCGCGCCGAAGCAGAAACGCCACTTTGAGGCGAGAAATCTGCATGGCGTCCACTCGCGCACCGCCCAGCGCGACGCATTGGCAAACGAACATAGCGCGCCACGCCCAAGCGGGAGCACATATTTTAGAACAAACACGCGCGGCGCTTGGGCGCGAGCGGCATTTCGCCGCATCGTGCGCGATGTGCGCCGAGACCCAATCCCGTTGGCGCCTGAGATGAAGGGTCCAGGTTGAGCCGCCATTGGTCAGCTACCTAGGTGACAAAGTGGAAGAGTAAACATGCAAATGAGGAACGATGATCTAACCTGACAGAGGAGGAAGCATAGCAGTGCCATCAGGGCGGAGGGGAAAGGAAGGATAATACAGGGAAACAGGGTAAGGAAGACGAACAGAGGCGGAGCCAGAGAGACTGAGAAGAACCAAACCGTCGGCGCAGGCGCCTCTGCACCAGAGGGCCGGGAACTTCTGCAGCTTCGCCAGCGCCTCTCCGGGGAGGTCCGAGGCGGCGGCGACCAACGGGGTGGACGAAGGAGGACGATGGAAGTACCAGTCAGCTTCAAAGACGGAACCCGTATCGAATTCGGGACGCGCGTAGCGTCGGGCTTCATGGGCAGATCGAACCCAACGACACGGGCACGGATCGAATCGAATCCTGTGACGGCGACGACAGAGGAGGCGACGACGGAGGCGATTGCTGAAGGCCTGCAGTGGGCACTGACACGAACACACAGAGGTTACCAGCCTCGAACGTATCCCTATCCCCAAGATTGACACTCCAAAAGGCGATGACAATCTTAGGGATTCGCCCTCGAAAAATAGGGGAATCCCTAAGATTGACATCGTGATGAGGAGATGCCCAGCATAGGGATAGGGATATGTTCCAGGCTGGTGAAGAGGTGTGCCTACTGGGAGGAGATGATCTTCGACTCTGGTGCTGGCGGCATCCCCTCGGCGACCCGAGAAGCCCGGACATCACCACCAGTCGCCAGGATCGGGACCCTACTCGTGCAGCAGGAGCCCGACCACACGAGACCCTCCACAAGAAACCCAAAACCCTGAGACCCCAGGATGCCCACTGCTCTCTGGCGCGGGGAAGCCACGCCTTCCACTGCAAAAAAACATCGACCCCCCCCCCCCCAAAAAAAAAAACAGGGCGCCCTGGAGGCAAGCAGGGTGCTCCTCGGCATGGGGGCCCACCCTGCATGGTTCAAGGGGCCCAAGGACACACAAATAAATACACACACATAAAAGGATCACCCATGTTTTTCCATACGTTCTGGGTCTTTGTCTTCCCGCCCATATTCCATATTTTCCCGTGTTTTCCTGGGGATCGACGATCATTTGTGTCTGTGTGTGTTCTTCCCCTCCTGCATTCGTGGAGGCCGCCGCTGGTCTTGGCGGCGGTGCCCACCCCTGGGCCTGCGGGCCCTGCAGAGGGCGCCGCGGGCCTCTGGGCGGGGGGGGGCGCTCCCGAGGTGCCCCCGCCGCCCCGAGCGCAGGTTTACCTTCGCGGCCACCACTGGAGGGGCCCAAGGACACACACAAGTAAATACACACAAATAAAGGATTCCCCATATCTTTTATATACTCTTTGGATGTTCGTCTTCCCCCCCACTTCCCCTATTTTCCTGTATTTTCCTGGGGGTCGACGATTAATTGTGTCTGTGTGCTTCTTTTCCTCCTGAACAACGGGCGCTATGGATCGACGAGCGCGTTCCACTCCTCGCGAAAAAAACTACTCGCAAGCGGCCTGGATCCGCGGCAGGGGGGATCTACGGAACATCTCACCGAAGCAAAGACATGTTTTTCGGAGGTTTGCGAGTAGGCACGGTGCGAGCACTGGAACGCGCTCGGTGAATGGAGGGGGGAGGGGGGGGATACGGGAGAGGGGGCATAACTAAGTTATGCCCCCTCAGTGCCAATGCTTCTGATTCACGTTTGTGTGACGCACTAGAGTTCCACATCCGTTTTGCATTGCCATCCGATCGTTTGTATACCCCTTTGCATTCATTCCTACCTTGCCGTGGCCCACTTGGAGCAGCGGCCCCAGCATTGCTTTGGATTCGGCCGCGCACGTCGCAGATGGCAACGCAGTGAAGTCGCCCATATCGTTGTTTCTATGGGCATGCAGGGCGTCCACACCACACCCCTTTACACCACACCCGTTTCTATCTTCTAAATAATAACGTCGCGCCCCGCCCCCCCCCCAGAATTGTGGTGCCGGGGACGCACAGCGGCACTGCCGGGGACGCACCGAGGGGGGCAGCGCTATACGTCGTGGGGGAGGGGCCGGGGGAGTGGGGGAGAGTAGGGGGCAGTTTTGCATACATGGGATTTTCAAAAAAAATCGGATTTGCATTTGATATATGATTAACTTATGAGAAAATGTATGCATGAACTCATCGTTGTTTTTAGTACTGAACCCCTGCATGTTTAATACATCATCCGCACGCGGAGCATGTATTAAAAGCGGCACTGTAGGGGGCACGACGCGTGCGCTGTGGCCCAGAGGGTGCACAACAACATCATCTCCCTGGCCGAACGCTCGCCCCGGGAAGCCCTGGCCCCGCGCGGCCGCGGGATCGGGTGCTCGAGGCGAGGTCGCGGGCGCGGGGCAGAGCCCAGCAGAAGAGCAGCTGCACCTGCCCCGCGGGCGTCGAGGCTCCTGGGCACCCTGCTCCTGGAGGTGTCCCTGCGCACGTCGGCACCTCATGCTGCGCCCCACGGAGGCCCCCCCGGGAGCCCTCCGGGGAACGGGGCCCCCGGAGACCGTCGCGGGAGGGAGGCGCGGCGGGGTGCGGGAGAGGGAGCTGGGACTGGAGCTGGCTGCATGGCAGAGTCGAGAGGGGGCACGGGAGCGGGGAGAGGGGGGGGGAGCCAGGCGAGCTCGCGCCATATCGGAAATGTTACCCCTCCCAGCCATCCCTTCACGTTGCGCTGATGTCCTCGATGACGGCCAACGACTGTCGCAGCAGATCTGGCGCCCCCAGCATGACCCTTATCGCTGCATGCGGAAGCCGAAAGAAGAGCTGTGTACAGTGTGAGGAGGTGGAGGAGGTGGCAGATGCGCAGGAGGATGAGAGGGAGGATGAGCAGGACTACGAGCAGAAGAAGGAGACAGAAGGATGAAGCACAGCCGCGACAGCCGGAAGACTTGGGGGAGCGGGAGGAGCTGGAGGACCAGGGGGAGGCGGAGGACGGAGAGGAAGGGCTGCAACGACGAGGAAAGCTCCAGGAAGCGGGCCCACGCTGGGGCGAGAGCGCCATTTGTGAGCGGCGGGAGCAAAAGCGCCGATCCTGCAAGGAGCCCAGCGCTGCTGCGGGAGGACCATTTCTGGAGGGACCAGTAAGCGTTCGGATTGGAAAAAAACGCTTGGAGCAGCCATCTCGCACCAGCCCCGCGCAGAAACGATACAGTGGAGGCCAGTCCACAAGAGACCCTCCGCAAGACACCCAGCCCCGAGAGCCCAGGCCGTCCATGGACTCTTGGCACGGGAACGGCGCGCTCCCCACAGCAAGGCCGTCTCGAAACCCACGAAATGACGAACCAACAACACACACCCATACCCATAGGGGGATCGGAAAGGGCTATGAGTGCGTGTTGTCGGATGGGGGTCCCCGCTCGAACGGGAGCGTTCCCCAAGGTCCGACAACCCGCACCCATACCCATAGCCAGTCCTCCTCCCAACGACCCCCCTATGGGTATGGGTGTGTGTTGTTCGTTCGTCACGAAACCCAGGGCCCCTTGGAGGCACGCAGGGTGCTTCTCGGCGTGGGCCCCCCGCCGTGCGCGGAGTGCGGGGCGCGCCCCTCTCTCTCTCGGGGCGTCGTCGGGGCCCGGGGGAGGCACGAATGGCGCTCATATGAGGCTCAGGTCGGGTCTGCCCCCCTACATGCGGATTTGGAGCGAAAAATAATATACATATATATATACATACATATACACACATATATATATAGAGAGAGATATAATAAGTATGCAAACGCTGTCAAAAAAGAACTCAAAAACATTGCCTCCCGACTTTTGTACCATTTTTGAATACTCTCCTGACGCCCGACTTACAATTGGAGGCCGATTGCAGTGGAGGAGACCGGAAAGGATGCCCGCCCGCGGGCAGCCGAGTCGGGAGTCTGCAAGAAGGCGTGGCACGGCGAGTCGGGGCACGCAGGCGCGACGGGAGTCCGAGCATCGTTTGACCGATCCCCATCCCCACCGGCGCGGGCCGGGCCCCCCTGGCCGATGCGCCCCCCTGGATGGGGATACAGGCCGTTCCGTTCGGGCTTCGAGGGGTGCATCCCCAAACTGGGGTGGCAATCTGGCGGGGGTCTCGAAGCTGGCCATCGCTCGGACGTCCATTCCCTGTGCTTCTGTTGATTTCGTGCGTGATTTGTTCGCCAAATGATCAAGGATGCTCCTCGATGGTCCTCGCCGAAGGAAAAATGCACACGTCCGAGCGATGCCAAGCGAAGGGGATGGGGATGGTGACCTGGGGGCTGGCGAAACGATGCCGAGGCACGCAGAGGCGCGGCGGGAGCCCCGAGAGGAGGCGCGAGGCCGCGGCCAGCCAGAGGGAGCGGAGCACGGAGGCGCCCTCCGGCGCCGCCCACGCCGCGGCCCGGCGCTCGCCCCCGGCGGTCTCCGGAGGGGCGAGCGCGTCGCGCCTGCTGCGTGATGGCGTCGTCGATGCCGAAGAGCACGAACGGGTCGGCGTCCAGGTACTCCAGCGTCTCCTGGTCTGGGGCACAGAGATGATGGGCTCGTGTTCCACCACCACCACCACATGGAGGGGGAGGGGGTCCTCCTCCTCCTCCTCCTCCTCCACCTCATCCTGCTCCTCCTTGCTCGCTCGCTCACGGCATGTGGTCCTGTGTGTCACCTGCTCCTCCTCCTCCTCCCCCTCCTCCTCCTCCTCCTCCTCCTCCTCCTCATCCTCCATATCCTTCTCCCCTCCAGCTTCTGGTGGTGGTGGTGGAAAACAGGCCCATCAAAACACGCACACACACACACAGACTCGCCGCAGACAGTTGAGCAAGCACGAGTCAAGATCTCTGGTCTCGGGGGTGTCCTGTCCCTGAAAGGCTCGGGCAGACTCAGGGTGGGCAGGGAGAAGCGGGTGTGCATGAGCAGCTGTCCCTTGTCCGAGATGCTCCGCGCATGGCGTGGCTGGAAACGGCGGCAGACTCGAACTGGCCAGAACTGATGCTCTGATACTTGTTCGGTCCCCGCGTGTAGCTTCCAATGCCTCTTGGAGACCAACACCACTTCTTCACGTTTCGCACCCTAGTATTGCCTTTTACTGTTGCGGGGAAGCCGATTATCAATATCCAGGACTGCGGGCCCATCCGCAGTCCTGGATATCGATAACTTCGTCGCTCCATCGCTGCGTCCCCCCTTACTCGCTCTGGCGCCACCCTTTCTCGTCCTCCTCCTGCTCCATGTAGAACCCTCCCAGGTTCACGAGAACGATTTGAAACAGGAGGAAGGGGGCTCGATGATCGCGAGTCCGTCTTGAAAGTTCGCCCGACCTAATCGAGATGTCCCCTCGTTGTGTCGACCTTCCAGAAGCTAATTACGCCATAGGCTGCGCCATCGGTTGCGCCAGACACCCCGCAACTCTCTGATGTACTGTCTCCGGCCGCAGGTTGCCCCACGAGCAGCGCTCAACGCCCCGCCCCCCGCCCCCAAAAACTCTGGCTGCTTTCCACGCGCGGCGCCGCGGGCTGCGCAAATCCTGCCCGAATTGGGCCATCTTCCAGGCGTTGCATGCAGTCCGCAAGGTGCGCCGAGCACTGCCCCAACGGCTGCTCCAGACTCCCCGCGCCCCGCGAGTCGTGATTTCTCGCTGTGTCTACAATCGAGGCGCATGATAATCAAGGGGCCCCAGGACACACAAAAAAATACACACAAATAAAACTATTACACACATGTTCCCATATATTCTGGGTCTTTGTCTTCCCCCCACTTCCCATATTTTCCCATATTTTCTGGGGAATCGACGATTAATTGTGTCTGTGTGTTTTCTTCCCTCCTGATACAATCGAGGCGCATGATAAGGGCGCACGACGAAGGTGCCCGGCGTGTCCCCAAGTGGCCGGCGCCGCCGGCTCCCCCAGCAGTCTGTGCTGCGCGGCGACGGAGAGGGAGAAAGGGAACGAGAAGCAGGCAGACGAAGGCAAACGCGCAGGCGGGAGGCCAGGGCGGGAGGAGGAGGAGGAGGAGGAGGAGGAGGAGGAGGAGGAGGAGGAGGAGGAGGAGGGGGCGGGGGAGGGGGAGGGGGAGGGGGAGCGGGCGGGCAGGCGGCAAAAGGCCACGAGGACACCCCTTCGAAGTGGGCGCGGCCAGGCAAGCTTGGAGAGGCGTGCATCCTGACCGTGCGCCCTGACTGCATTTACTCCCACAACCTGCGGCACATGCTGCGCCAGGCACCCCGCGAGCCACCCCTCTGCCAGAAACACAGCTTCTGCACTCAGCCTACCCGTCCGCAGGCTGCGCCACAGGTTACGCCAGACCCCCCGCGCCTCGCCGCATGAGGAGTTACCCCGCTCTGTCAGCCCTCCGTCGGCTGCGGCAGGGGCTGTGCCAGACCTTCCGCCACTTGGGTCCCCCCCAGCGCAGCCCGCCGTCCACATGTTGCGCAGTACGCTGCTCCAGAGTCACCCCGCGCCCCCTCCAAGCCACAAATGATCGGCTCTGTTTGTTTCCCATTACCTACGGGTTGCGCCATGGGTTGCGCCATGGGTTGCGCCATGGGTTGCGCCATGGGTTGCGCCAGGCGCCCAACCCGCACAACCACCCGAAATCGCGACGTATCAGCCATCTGTACGTTCCGCAGGCTGGCCCATCGTTTGCGGCAACCACCCAGCCCCCACCCCATCGCGATATCTCCATATTGTCATCCGCAGATTGCGCCGCAGGCTGCGCCAGACACCCCGCACCCCGACACCTGGTGGCGGCGCCGATAAAACATGTAGCACGAGCCAACACCAGGCGCGCAGCATGAAATAAAACAACTGGCCATCCAGCACGCGTCCTTGTAGAAGTCCGCAGACAAACCCAAAACGATGTTGTCACTGTGGGCGGCCATGAGGCGCTGCCAGCGATGAGGCACGAAAGCTGACTCTGCAGCGAACGAATTGAGGAACATGAATCAGACGGCGGAAGAGACCACGAGACGAACGAAAGGGTTTTGAAAGATACCGCAAACAAGCCCACATGGGACCCATGAAGGAGCCCCGACGCCCAAACTCAGAGGAACACAGAGCGTGTCGCTGTTATGTGTGGTACTTCGCCATACCGTGTCCAGGCAAGACCTTAAGTCGGGCCTGTCCCTCTACAGGGGGCATGTTCAAAAATAGTAAAAAATAGTCGGGGGACTATTTTTGTATTTGTTTGACAATTTGGGAGCATTTTTGGATTATTCATTTTTTTGTGTGCTAAATCCCCCTGTAGGGGGACACGCCCGACCTAAAACAAGACCCTGATGACCGCAAAATTGCCCAAAATGGCCCCAGAGGCTCCCGGCTGGCCCCATGATGCTGTAAAAACTCGCTGCGGCACATATCGCGCGGGGAGCCGCCGTTCGTCTGCAATGTCATGCAGTGTGGTTGTGAACCGTGTTTGGCCTACGCCCTGGCTGCTCTCTAAAATGGAATACGCTCGGTTAAAATGCAAGCGGTGAATGGTAATTACATGTACCGTTTGAAGCCCCAAGGTGGCCGATCCCAGATGGATTCGAGCTTCATACCAGCTGCCCGGAAGATCACTTCAACATATGTCAAGCCATTCAGCCAACCTTGCTATATGACTGTCAGACCCGTCGCATTGAAAGAGCTAGCCCGCGATCGGTGCCAGAGGGCCTGGCCGCGCACGTGCTCGCCAAACGCATGATCCAATAAGGCATCAGGCGTGTCCAACGTGAAGTTCACGCGTTGCCCACTCTCTGAGATTCGCGAATAAGTACCGACAACCGTAAGCTTTCTCCAATCTAGATTCGGCGGGGACCCCTGCGGAGAGAGCTCGAGGGCTGGAAAACAATAGAAGGACGGCACGAGACACATGCTAATGCAATATGCGCGTTAGTCCTCGAAGCGTACCCCTAAGTCGGAAGGGAGCCTGCCGCCAGAGCTTCGTGCGCGGGTCTCTGGCCATGCAACAGCATGCGACCGCACCGAATCTCAGACGAAAAAATCCAGAGAAACAACAAAGCTAACGGCACAGAGGTCGGTGGCTGGGGACGCGGAGGCTGTGCCCGAGTCCCCCCCTGACTACCTACCAGACCACCCCAACCCAACCCAAATACCCGAATTTCGGGTGGGGGGGGTAAGGGTTCCACATGTGTTTTCTCGATGTTTCCCGACCCCCCCCCACTGGAAATCGAGAGTAAATCTGAGCCTACGGGTTGGGTTGGGGTGGATTGGTGGGTGGTGACCCCCCCTTTGCTCAACCTGCCCCGCCCGCCCGACGAGAGCTCAAGGGCAGCTCCCTCCAGGCCAGACCTGGCGGGGGCCCCTGCAGAGGGCCCCCCCGGAAGGGCTGGGGAAGGGTCGAACGACGACTGCACGAGACATGATTGAAAGGGCCCCAGGACACACAAATAAATACACACAAATAAAAAGATTCCCCATATTTTCCCATATTTTCAGGGGTTCTGTCTTCCCCCCCATTTCCCATATTTTTCTATATTTTCCTGGGGCTCGACGATGAATTGTGTCTGTGTGTTGAGTTCCCTCCTGAATGATGTAATGCAACCTGAGCGCCCGCCCATGTTCCCCCTCCCCCTTCCCCCGGCTACCGTCAGGTCGGGCATGTCCTCCTACAGGCGGATGCGGATGTCGACAGGAAAATTGAAACATATCAGGAGCTAGGCAAACATAGTCAAGGAGAATAGAAAATCTTCCCCCGACTATGGTTTAGAGGGACAGGCCCGACTTAAGTCTAGCGCCCTTGTGCCCAATCTCGTCTGAGCCCGTTATCGTCATCCTGGGATCCTGGACCCCCCCGCCTCCGCAGAATCTCGAGGCGAGTCCAGCGGTGGCGACGAGGGCCTCCCAGGGGGGCGAAGGAGGGAACAACGGGCGAAGGGTAGGTCGGGCATGTCCTCCCAGATTGGAAGACAAATAGCAATAAGCAATACAAACCAGAAACAAAAACGCCACACGCTCGGTTATCCATCTCGGCGGCGACGAGAAGGGCGAATAACCCAGAGGCGGACATTACACGTATTCGCCAGGGAGCCTCGCCGAAAACATGGATCATCGGCGCCCCTGGATACAGTCGGGGCGCTGAAGAAAGAACTCTTCTCGTTGGGGAGGGGCTCCGTGCTCCTTCTTTGGTTTACAGCTTGCCTGAGGTTGTCCTTAGGTTTTGGATGGGGGATTAAAAGTTTGACTCATGGGAAAAAGGGGCCCCGTTCCATAGTTATTCAGGGTTCCTCGGGTCAACGCCCGGACTGTACGTGCATTGCTCCTCCCATCTTCGCATCTTCCCCCCCCCCTCCCCCCACACGCCCGCCAAGCCCCGTCCTCGGAGAGCAGGCCCTTCCGCTCGAAGTGGGTCAGCACCTCGCCGTCGCCGTCGCCGTCGCCGTCGTCGTCGTCGTCGCCGCCCTCGTCGTCGTCGGTCGTCGTCAGTCGCCGTCGCCGTCGCCGTCGCCGTCGTTGCCGTCGTCGCCGTCGTCGTCGCCGTCGTCGCCGTCATTGGAGGGTCGAGGCCGAGTCGAGGCTCGAGGGTCTGGGACTCTCGGAGGGTGCGGAGGCGAAGGGGGGCGGAGGCGGAAGGACGGGAGCAGCAGCGGCCGCATGGGAGGGGGTGAGGACCTGAAGCGGGGTATGGGGCGGGCGGGGGGGGCCGGGAGGGGAGGGCGAGGAGAGGGGGAGGGACGGACGACCTGAGGAGGAGGAGGAGGAGGAGGGCGGGGAGGGAGGGATCGAAGGGACTTCCCGGAGCAGCAGCAAGTCTCCCTGGTTCGGTCTAGCGTGAGCTCGGGCCCGCGCTGCAGGAAAGCGCGCGGCGGCCCTCTCCCGGAGAGAACGAGGATGGACGAGTCGATCGAGGCCGCGCTGGGGGCACCGACGAGGAGAAAAAGCAGGACCAGGAGCGGAAGCAACAGCAGCGAGAGGGCAAGGCGAGATGCATCCCGACTTCGATCCAGCCAGCGCACCACACATGATCATCGAGAGAAAATCTAGGACCAGGAGCGGAAGCAACAGCAGCGAGAGGGCAAGGCGAGATGCATCCCAACTTCGATCTAGCCAGCGCACCACACTTTTATCATGTTACGAGATTGAGCGGAGTTTCTTTTTATTTACAGCCTTGGACCTTGGAACGCTGAACACCTCTCGCCGCGACACGCTGCCATCATAGTCTCGCGCGCTAGCTCTACAATTGCTTTTTATTATTTTATATAAATACACATTAATTAAAAAGAAAAAACAAAAAACATAAAAAAGAAGGAAGACAAAACAATGAATAACTCTTCGGGAAGCAGCTGTTGGCAAATCATAAGCGATCGAGCCCCCACGTCAGCGAGCTTTCCTTGGAAAATCAACTAAGATGGACGACGCAGAACGATTGAGTCGGGCGTGTCCATCTACAGGAGGAATATGTATCCAAAAATAGTGTTTTAATGGTCTACGGACGATGAGATTGACA